CATGCAATTCCAGCAAAAAAAGTGCTGACACGGCAACCTCACAAACTCCATACCTGATTTAAAAAAGAAAAAGAAAAAGCTTCAGCAACCATTACCGCTTGACAGGTTATTGGATATCTGATTTCTGATAGCGTCCACACGTGGAACACCATAGATCCTATTTAGAAAGCCTGGTTGTAAGAATATGGATAAACCACAGAAATGTTATATAGTTAGTGATCAAAAGAGAAGAGAAAGCAAGTTAAATTTTACGATGACTTCTGAAGTGTCTATTAGGAGGAGTGTCTATTATGAATAACTATCTCAACAGATACATAAAGGTATTAGAAAAGCCTTTTTTGGGTCACCTAAATATACACAAAATCAGATTTGTCTAATGATTTACTTCTCTTCTTCCTCCCAGAATATTAACACCGTGTTCGGAGGAAAATTAAATTTTCCTGGACTTAAGTTTCATTTCGCTTCATAAAATACTGAAGGAATTCTGCCACAAACCCATGCAGCAAATAAGGACAAAGATCACTTTATCAAAGCCAACATATTTTCTGTTTCCCAAAAATCTATTTTTCCCCAACAGTCTTAAGGAATTTAAGAGAATTAGTCTCTCTAACAAGGATAATAGTTCACAACTTTTCATCCTAAAAACGCAATTACATCCAAGGCATTTAGCAAGATATATAATGAAAATCTAGACATATTGCTTGAGGCATGAGACATAAAACAACTACATATGAAGAACTATCAGCAGTTATTTATGTAAGATCTAAAGGGAACATTCCTGATCCATTGGCTAAAATACTCTCAAGAGGTATAATAAATGCACTATAAGTTGTTTGTGTCTAAGGCAATTTTAATTGATCAATAGTAACAGAAACCTTTCCTTTCTTATTATTCAATACTGCTAAGACTTGAAAGGTAAAAACAAGTTATAGTTTATGACAATTAGCACGTACTGAAAATTATATTACATAAACTCATAATGAAGAAAAAGAGTTTCAAATAACAACCAAGGAAGTCCATGTTAAGGACTTGAGTAAAACTTCACCTATATAACAATATATGTTATTTCATTGAGGTGACACACTATATGTTCAAATTAAAAGCCAAAACACAAAATTTATGTTATTTCCCTCCAAGATGACAAATCAGATTTTCACAATTAAAACATTAAAAAATAAATACTTTGTTCGATCACTGCTACAGAAACTTCTTTTTTTTTTTTCCATATTGAAGTGACAATTTGTAATGAATTGAATTAACTAGAATCCAGGTAAGAAAATTTCAATGAAAGAATCAATCAAATAGACTGAGTGATTTTCTGAGAAAAGTGTCCACAGTTGAGTGACTTTTGTGAAAATAGTCCACCGTTAAGTGTCCGTCCATCTCCATCTGAGATATTATCTAAGTAATCACCAACTAAGGGGGTGATTAGTAGTGTAGTTAGTGATTGTAAGAGAAGAGAAGCTTAAAATTTAATAGAATTTTTAAATAATTTTCTTACACTATTTCCATATTAAAAATTACTATGGTTGTCGGTTAGATTTCAGCTATTAACATATAAAGGTTAAAACAATTTCGCCAAAATGGCAAAAAATGAGCAGAGATAACAAGAGCCCGTCCTTCTAATTTTTTTCCCCACATATTATAACCAAGTAGATAATGGTAACGAGTACCAAATATAAGCATATGAATCGACCACAAATATCCAAAAAAATGAGGGAGAGTCTGAAATCTGAACTGGTTACTGATTCTTTGGCATCAATATATAAAGTAATAGCGGCCAACAAACAAAAGATACCATAAAATCGGAGAAACTAATATATTGTCATAAATTAAATTAAGTTGTTTAAGTTTAGTTTCTAAGTTCCAGGTATAGTAGAATCATCCAACATATTTGTACAAAATACTATTGTAAACAAAATAAAGCATGAGACTCCAAAGTACCAGGAAGTTCATTGAAACAGATGCAGCATTGATGAATGTTTCTACGAAAATTCTCATGGCGCTGTTCCTCGTCATAGCTCTTGAGTGAGGGGATATCAACCTCTGGTGAGACAGTTCCTGAAATTGCACCCCTATCTCCAATATCACGCTCAGCACCAAAACCTAACTTTATTTCTTGATCAAACTGCAAATGAGAAAGAGAAGAGGCATGCAACCACTCCACCCACTGGTATAAAACCTCTTGACCTAATTGTTCCTTCCATATTGAATCAAGCATGGAGCAAAGAGATGAAATGTTTGCTGAATTCAACCACTGGACAGAGATTGTAAAGAGAGGAGCAAGGTGGCTTGGATATGATTTAGGTAATAAACACGTTAAAACAATGGGCGGTAGATGCTCAACTTTGAGGGAGTATGAGAACTCAGGAGAACTATCATCTGGTATTCCATGAGCACCAGAGGAATTCAGATTTACAGACACCGTCAGCTCACCAGGAACTTCAATATGTACATGAATCTGCAAGAACAACATGAAATGAGGTTTGAATTTTCCAGAGTAAAGCATAGTTTATCAAGGCACTACAGAACCTGAAAAGATCGTAGACCATTTCGTCTATCAAGAACGAAGACACTGTCACCAAAAATTGATTCCAGTGCTAGTAACTGCAAAGAACCATGTACAATGTCAAAAAGTACTTTACATAAATCAATAAACAGAAAGAGAGATGAAATAGGAAGAAATTGAAAAATAACCATCTCAGTATATCACAGTATTGCAAACTCAAAACACCAAGAAAATACTAACATTAACCATATTGCTACGAATATTTGAATTAATATTAATGAAAAAGAAAATGACACAAATTTGCGCTCGTACACGATCATTCAACTATTTGTTCTTAACTAGAACAACCATAAGAAACCAGGACAAACTGATGCATATTGCATTTTTAAGGATATCCCCACTCATTCGAATCAAATAATGACTCAATTATAACATTATCACACCAGAGACTACACTTAGTGCATTGGCACCCTTAACCTATACCAAAAAATACCTACCTGGGGTTCAACCTTTGGGTTGCGGATTCAATAGACCCAATATTTTTAACAATGTTCAGATATATATGTGAAAAAACACAAACTTTCAACAAACATCAAATCTGAACCCACTATTTCAAAGTACAATGAGTTTATAACTAAAAACCTTGAAGCTCAAACCCATCCAATTTGACGTGACACGGAGCTTAAATGCTCATTAGGCTTATGTTTTAGTAGTGATACTTAATTATGAATGATTGCAAATTAAGTAACTTATTTAATGTTGAAACTTTATTTAATATCACATAAGAGAGGCAGGCTAAGATTCCATTCGAAGTAACTTATTTAATGTTGAAACTTTATGTCAGCCAAAGTTCAGATTTTGAATAATACTCCGAATTTAAATTCAAGCAGCATAAGCTTAAAATCGTGTCAAATATCGGAACAGTCTGAGAATGGAAAGAATCATACTTTCAAATAGCAAAACGCGACAAGTAAAAGTGAACCGACAGAGTATATCAAATGGAGCACATTCAATCCAAGCTAATAGGCTTTACCTCATCCTCTTGTGCTTGATCATTGATTCTAAGCTGCTCAGTCGATAATTCTGGCTCCTCAGCACCGAATTGCAGCTCATCCAGCCTTTTCCAAACATCATCAATACTAGAACCCTCAACTTTTTCTACACCCTTTTCCTCCTTGTCACCACTTAACTTATCTTCCACCGCCTCTCTAGAACTTTCTTCATCTTCTGATTTCTTCTCGAAGTTACCATTTACACCATAAGCACGACTATTTCGGGATACCCTTTTGGAATTCCTACGATTCCGATGGGATTTTTGATTTAACTCCGAGATAGTACTTTCTTGTACTTTTTTCGTTAGAGACGAAACCTCTACAGTTTCCCCTGAAGTCAAAGAGGATATTTGTGACCCTTTTGGATATATTGGATTTCGATCTTCCCGAACAAACAGCGAGGTGAGTTCGTGTACAGGCAAAGCTTCATCTTTTTCACCTGAATTCAAAGAGGACGATTTGATTACCCAATTTTGATTGGAGTTGCGACGAGAATAATGAGCTGATTTTGCTCCTCCTCTTGAATTGGACATGGCTGTGATTGAACTCCTCTGACTCTGAGCTGAATAATCCAACTGCGGTACACAGATTTTGAGCCTTGCTATTTATAGCATTTTTGAGATTTTGCCATTTATGTAAACTGCGGCTATTGTAGTTGGTTGAGGGGACCAAAACGATTAAATTTGAGCCGATAGAGTATAATTTTTGCTATATTATCCTACTTACGGAACTTATGTTTTGGAATTTAACTTGGGTTGCAAATCTTATATTTTGAGTCTATTTTCTTTTATTTTTGAAAATAATTTGTATGATTGAAATACAAACATATGTGAAGGTAAAAATCATACAAAACTTATAATGTTTAGTTTTCGGAGGTTTTAACCAAACTAAGTCATTTATATAAAGTTATTCAACAAAATAATATGTTTTTCTAAAATTTTACAAAACTAGTATAAACGTATTCCACAATAATGTTTTAGGATATATTTTATTTTTTAAAAGTTGATGGCGTCAAATTGATATACGTTACTCACGGTAACGTTTTACTCCTAAAACGTTACGCACAGTAACGTTTTAAACGTTACTGTAAATAACGTTTTGAAAGTAAAACGTTACTTACAGTGACGTATATCAACCTAATGCTATTGATTTTTAAAAAATAAAATATACCCTAAAACGTTACCATGAAATACGTTTATACTAGTTTTGTAAAATTTTAGAAAAATATATTACTTTAGTAAATTGTTTTATATAATGACTTAGTTTGGTTAAAAATTCTAGTTGTCACGAGGCTACACTTTCAAATGTAAATGTCTCAAATCATCAAGTTTTAGACGTGATTGATTGTATGACATTTTATTTAATTCTATATAAATTTAGATGTGTATTTTCTCAAAGTTAAAAGCGTAACAAATTAAATGACATATATTACATTAAAAAAAATAATATTTTTTTTCATTTCTCCCTTTTGCCTCCATACAGTTGGACCTTTGCCCTCACCTAGGGTTTTTCACTGAACCCATAAATTCAATTTTTTGTTTGTCTTCAAAATATCCAAAAAATAAATCTTGAATATATTTTAATCTATAGTTATTTCTTGGTTTGCTGAAAATCTGTGTTATTTTATGTCTATATATATCTTTTAGGACTAAAAAAAGGATTCTGTTTCTGCTGCTGAATCAGAAGAGAAGGTAACTGTTATTTTTCTGTTGAATACCATTATTTGTTTGCTTGTTTATATGTTCTAATTCTACTGTTGCAAATTGTTAATAACAGAGATGAATCTAGGATTTTTAGAACATGCCTGTACCATTTAGCCTTGTGCCAACAAATTTTAGAAAATATATGCATAGAGAATGCAAGTTCACATACCCATTATGTTAGTCTTTAATTCTGTTTTTTGTTTTTTTTTTGTCTTTTTTGGGTGTGTGTGAGCTAGATGTAAATTCAAAATTGAATTTTGGGGATGTCTTCATGTTGATTGAATCAATATGGACAAAGAATATTAGTTGATGAAATATTCTAATGCAATCTGACTTCTCTTTTTTTTTCAAAACTAGTTGAAGTAGAGCGTAGACAATATGAATCATTAGACTAGTTTGACACCAAGGCCCCATGCGGTGGCTCGTGGAATGTGAAAAACTAGGTGGGATGGCTGAAATGTAATTCAGAAAATACTTGAACAAGAATATCCTTCAATGTGTGGTGTTGGAGTTCGAAATTTAATAAATGGAACTCCAAGAAAAGATGTTAGAGTTCGAACTCAATGGCCGATTCTTTGACTCCGTATTGTAAAATTATGAACGAAAGAAGTATATCATTGGGTTTGAACTTTAGAACAAATCGATACGTTCTTAGTTGGAGAATCGTGAACTCAAAGACTCTTTCCTTGAGTTCTCTCACTTTAACAAGTATTGTGTTGGAGTTCAAACTCGTTGAAGAAATCCTTTAGTTCTCATATTTATGTTTAAATTATGCAAGAAATTCAAGATTTAAGTATGAAGTTCCTTCTCTTTTTTCGTAATTTTATATGGGAGTATAATGTTTTGCTTTTCTGCACTACTGCTTCGGTGATGCAAAAAATGCTACTGATTGGGTTTTATACTTGTAAACTGAAGCTTTCTTTAGCTACAATAAAGAACACTTCATAAAATAGTAGTTTCCCTCTATTCTGAGCTGTAATGGTAGCTTTGTTTCTTTCCTTGGTACCATTTATTGAAGCATGATACTGTGGGAAGGAGAAAAAACAAAGAAAAAATTAAAATAACACAAAGAACTTTGTGTAAATCAGGTAGCTTTTTTATTATTATAACTGTGGTGTTTGGCTCTGTTGGTGTGTATCTCAATAAATTCCACGAGATATCTCCTACTTCTCATTAGAACAGTACCGAATAACTTTTTCTTTGTCCACCTTGGCTTGCAAATATCGGAAAAACCTAGTATTTTGCCTTCGCTTAAATTTGAACCTGATATCTCATCTCAACCCCTAGGCATACCCTTAGGTGCCAAAAAATTTCCTAATGTCAAGCATCCCTCTGCAGGCAAGCTTCATGTTGCTCTTATATTTTGGAAAAGCTAAATAACTCTATTCTATGGAAGCCTAAAGTTTGATTATCCATTTGTTTTTACTTATTTGCTCATTTATTTTTGCGCCTGAAGTTAATTGGAGATCTCATAAAGATGGAAAGCAAGAGGGATGGAAATGATGAATCCTTTGTTTTAATCAAGCAAGGAGCTGAGGCTGTGAGTTCATATTTAACTATTCATTATTGTATTGCTATAAAATTCCCTGTAATATTTTCTTTACTCTTTCTATCCTTTTTGAGAAAAGGGGTAACTGTATGTATATTCACAAAAAACTCATCATCCAGAGAATGATGAGAAGATCAATCTCAACCCTCAACTGTTTTACAGTGCATAAATAAATGGTCAATAATCTCTGCTTCTTGGCCACACATAAAACACCTTGAGCAAATCTGTGTACCTCTTTAGTACTTCACGAGTTAAACAAATTTTTTTTTTTTCATTACCAGCCAAGCAAAACAAGAGACTCTTAGTGGGAACTTTGATCTTTCAAATTAACATCTGGGGCCAAGTTATAGTCAGTGACTAATTAACATTTTTGTTCTAGCAACAAGACTTAACTGTGACAACTCCCTTGCTGTGTAGCTTCCATAGTTGTTTATAAGGGCCAATAGAAATGCCTTGTAATGTGTTCAGAACCTGTGGCATACTTGCTACTCTATCAATCTCCAACCATTTAGAGCTCTTCTGAAAATGAGATACCATTCACGTGTGTGTGGTTGGGAGCGTCTTTTGTATTGTTTTTAACTCACTTATAATGCGTATTATTATTATTATTTCTGCCAATGTTCATTTGATGGCAGATAGTTGTTGACACTTGCCATTGAGATTTCACTAACATTTTATCTTCTTTATCTGTTGATATTAGCGGGTTTTTGAGTCAACATTTGTGGGTAGAAGATGTATCATCAAGGAACGGTTTTCAAAGAAATACAGGCATCCAACTTTGGACTCAAAACTTGTTCTTAAAGGGTTGAATGCGGTTGGTGCAAATGATACCTATTCTTTTTTTTAATCTTTATTAAAGCTTGTGATGCTAAAAGAAATGAAATTATGGCGCAGGAGGCAAGGTGTGTGGCAAAAGCCAGACGGCTTGGTGTTGCTACTCCAGTGCTTTATGCTGTTGACCATGTTATGCATACTCTCACCTATGAATATATTGAAGGTCCTTCTGTGAAAGATATATTTCTTGTCTTTGGACTAGTAGGTGTTGATGAAGAACAGATGGTTGATATTGCAACGCAAATTGGTAATGCAATTGGAAAACTACACGATGGTGGCTTAGTCCATGGCGATTTGACAACATCAAACATGTTACTGAGGAGTGCTGCCGATCAGCTGGTGGACTTTTCTCTCTCTCTCTTAGAATGTTCCTCCAATTCTCACGATTGACTTTATCTTCAACGTCCATTCTTATTTTTCTTTTTCTCTTTGTTTTAATGGATGAAATTTGTAGGTTCCTCAATGGGATTATTTTTTTATCAATGATACTTTTTCTCTAGGTGTTGATCGACTTTGGCTTAAGCTTTACTTCAACGCTTCCAGAAGATAAAGCAGTTGATTTATATGTACTAGAACGTGCTTTACTCTCTATGCACTCTTCTTGTGGAGATGTGGTAAGCTCTGTCATGAAGGTCATTTTGAAGCTTTTTGCTCTTCTCTATCTCCAAATTTGAAATCATTATTTGTTTCAGGGAAAAAAGATATTAGTTTCTTCTCTAAATCAATTTTTTTATTTTGTCTTTGGGCGTTATATCATTCATGTAATGTGATTATATTATTGCACGAAACGTTTACCTAAGGGCACTGGTCTGTTGTCTTGTGAATCTCTTTGTTTTTTGGCTTAAGCATGTGGATAATGGTTTTATTTTTAGTCTGTAGCAAAGCGATTGAACTTTAACGTATAGTGAAGAACAGATTTATCTTCTATTGTTTTATATGGTTATTGCAGATGGACCGGATACTTGCTGCATATAGGAAGTCCTCGAAGCAGTGGTCATCAACCTTGAACAAGCTAGCCCAAGGTGCTTCCGACTCTTTGTACATGTCCCTTTCTGTTTATTACCTTGATATTCCCAGAAAGAAGAGATAACATAGTTCTGATTCTGTGACCTGTTTCAGTGAGGCAAAGAGGAAGAAAACGCACAATGCTTGGTTGAGCTTCCCTAATTCTGGACTCCACGTTAAGGTTAGACTTGGTCTCTATGCCTACCATTGCATTCAGTATTTCTTTTAAATTTCCAGAATGTTAAATCATCAAATTCCCATGTTTTCCTGCCAAAAGCAAAGCGTCTTTCCTATTTTCTCTTGGAGATAAGAGTGTTGTATATCATGGTTATATGGCCTAGTTAGATTTTCAAGTTTAATACAACTGGATACCCCTCTCTGTCTTTTTTGCTTTTTTCTTCTGGGAAGTCTGAACATGAATAGTACTACAGACGATGACGTAGCTTGCAATCTTCAGATATATCAAAGATATTAGGCTCATTGATTTACCAAAAATAGCATTAATAAGTTATAGAACAAGGTCACTTATTTTAAGCTGGTGTTTCTTGCTTGCCCTGCATTAATAAGTCGTCTTTCAGTTTATAACCATATAGCACTACTGGCCTGAACAAAAATACTGTCTGTGCATCTGCTTAAATAACTGCACTATTTACTGTACTTCAAATGAACATGTAGCGATAAATTTCTAGCATATAATTGATGATTTAGGAGTTGAATCTCTTAGTTGGTAAATGGTTTTATGATTGATTTTCAGAGAAGAAAAAAAAATCAGATGCCATGGAGAAAGGAGAAACCAAAAAATTTGCTCATTGCAAAGATCAATCTGTATTTGTTTCTGTCTTGATTATTGTCGGTGTGGCTGATGCTGTTGCCTATTTGAATTTATACGTCTACGATTTTCTGTATTTTTATTCAACTATAACCATCTGCGAGGTATTTTTACTTCCCATAAAAACTCAGATGTCTCGAATCCTTTTCATTATGACACTAGTTTAGACATGTAACGTTCAAGTTTCTTAGTTGCTCAAAAGCACAAGAGCCAGTCATTGGCAATTGACATAAAGAGATGACCCTTACAGTGACATAAGTGGCAGGAATGACCCCGACGTTAGTTCCCAGGAGGAAATATATGGCAAGGCACATACACAATTGGCGAAGCAACAATGATACATGTGTTTGGCAGTGTCGCTGTGACTCTCAAGAAAAGCATGTAATTCAGCAGCCACTTTAGACAGCTGACGGATCACAGAGACTATTACCTAGCGGTAAAGGTAAGGTGTGCGTACAGTCTAGCCCCGTTTCGTGGGACTACAGTGGGTACACAGATTTTACAGCAAGACAGCTGAGTTGTGAGTTAGAGAAAACTGTCTAACTTATCAGGGCCAAAGTGAAAATACAAGGCGCTTCCCTATCATTTTTGGATAGGAAATAACAAGATGATGCACCAGCAGTAGCAGTGAAGACAACTAACTCTATGTCTTTGATACAGAATATCCACAGAAACAATTATTATTATTATTATTACAACTAAGATGCTGCCATCTCCAAATTGTACAAACTCTGTAAATGCAAGTGGATAGACTTGTTAGCATGTGCAGCTAGACATTACAACAACTGCATAACCCCATAAGTGATGTGTGGGGAGGTAAGAGTGTTCGTAGACCTTACTCCTACCTTATAGATAGAGAGGTCCGTCTCTCAAATAATATGAAAGGGGTATGTATACAGAGATGGTAGAAATAACAACAAAAAAATTATGTGAGATGGTAGAAATAACAACAAAAAAGATTATGTGAAATGGAGAGTATTACTCAACAAACACGAGGAACAACGCTATCAATAACAAAATAATACAATAATCATAGCACAAAAAACACAGCATTTATAGATGAGATCGAAGATCAAGAATCTACGAGAATAATGTTAATACTATTGGTGAGAAGGAAGGTCCAAGTATGACCATCAGGTTCATCTCGCGGGGAGGTGTGAGAGATATCGTTCTACATATTAACTTTCTACACTAACAACGAATAATATTATAATAGTAAAACTGGAAAAGAAAACATGCACAATGCACCCCAACTATGATAATATTTTGGAATTATGAGTAAACTCGTCTTTACTTATATTTTCATTCTTTATTTCTTTTTTGGTTTTCATCCATTGTATTCATATTAGAGTTTGACTAAGTCTAGCTTTGCGCTAGGAAGTCCCACATTAGGGATTAAAGTGATCCCGAACATAGATGACTGACTATATACTCAAGGGGATTCATACCCGAGACCTTCGATTAAGAATGAACGATTAATTATCACTTCATCACAAATTAGCATCCTGCTTTCATAGCTCAGTTGGTTAGAGCACCCGTTTAGTAAGCGGGAGGTCTTGAGTTCGACTCTCAATGAAAGCAACTAAATAACTAATCTTTTTCTCCAGAAGAAATGGGCCAACTTATTCTGGTTTTGGGCCCAAGTATTCCAATTTGGGCCTTACCAAATTTATTTTGAGCCCAAAATATTCCAATTTGGGCTTTACGAAATTTATTTTGGGCCCAAAGTATTCCAATTTGAGCCTTTCAAAATAAGGTTTATTCTGGATTTATTTTGGGCCCTAGTACCACCAATTAAGCCCAGTTTATTCTGGCTTGGGCCTCTCCAGTTACCTCATACAAAATTGACATGAGTCATTTTGCACTTTTGCCCTATTTTGTGTTGCTCTTTAATTTTTATCTTGCAGGATCATTAATTTCTTTGGAAGATATTAGTTTATATTTTCGCATCATAATATATTACAAGTGATATTTTATGCTTGCGACTAGACGTACGTCCCCGATTTCTAGTAACAAAGACTTAAAGATCAATCTGTTTGAAAGAAAAAATGTGCAATTAAACAAAGTGGTATCTTTCATTTATTTGGTTACGATTTGGTGTGAGAATATTCGCCCAAACATATTGGATTTGTATTAGACCACAAAATTTTTAAAGAGTTTCATTTGTATCATACCAAAAGACAATTTCAAATTTCAAATATTATTTTAATTTCTTTTTTGAAAAAAAATATATTCTTCTTTTTCAAATTTCACAATTTTATATCCAAACAAGGATACTCACATCATAGAGCCCCTTTATAGGGTAAGATAATAATTATTTAGATCATTAAAAGTGCCCATATGGGTTGGATCTCCATTTATATTGTCCTAATATAAGGAATTGTCACTATCATAAAAGACACCACTATATATAAGTATGAAAACAATCATCACATAAAATTGTAAAAGAAGAACAACAAAATTTACCTAGCAGCGATTTTCTTATTTATTTTTCTATTTTTTTTTATAAATCATTGCTTAGGGAGCGATTTTATTTTTTTTTAAAAAAATCACAATTTGCAAAATTGCTGAAGAGGCTGCGATTTTGCTTTTTCCGGTGGGGTAAATAGCTGTTGGTGAAGTGATTTTACCGTTTTGGTTAATATAAATTTTATATACCGTTTTGGAATTTTTGTTAATATTTTGTACCCTTTAGGCTCTGAAATCAATAGGATCACGTGATGTGTCCATACTAAGTAATTAATTATGATTTTAATTAAACTTATAAGTCAATTAATTTGGTTTATAAGATCCTTTTTTTAGTATATATACATATTTGGTAAATAAATACAAAAATATTAAGAATACTATTTTGTATTTAAAACTCAAAATCAAAATGTGTAATAAAGGAAAACAACAACATGCACCACATCATTTGACTATCAACTAGCTAACTCTAACAAAGTTTTAATATATAGTAATAAGATTATTATAAAATAATTGAGTGAGAATCTATACATATCCCAAAACTGGTTTATCAAAGCAAAGTTTGAGAAAAAGGGCAATGCAAATTAATTAACAATTAGTATCTTTAAGTGGTTATACTTTCTTGGATTAATTAATTAAAGAATCTTAAATTAGTGAATAATTAATAAAAGATCTGATTTTTTAGTTAAATAAAAAAGTACTATACTATTTTTAAAGCAAGTTATTAATGCAGAATGACTGAGATTGGTTATTGAAGAATAGTTTATAATTAAATATGGAATAAATTATCCATAAGAATACAATCCACTTGAAGAATTTAGTTATATATATATATATATATATATATATATATATATATATATATATATATATATATATATATAGGAGGTTTACAATTATTTTAATTAATCTAGCTTTTCATGTCATCTAAAGTAAGATTACTTTTGTTAATCACAAAGTGATTTTATATTAGACACTTAATTAAGACTAGAGGGCAATACCATTATGAGAGAAGCTTCTAAATTAAAAATTATTAAGCCAAAAGATCTTGTATTTATAAAATAGTTATTATAATTAAATTTCTAATTTATAAGGAAAACTTCATGATAATATTTTTAAATTTAATCCGTAAAAATTGAATTTCAATAAACGTTATTTAATTATATGAGTTGAAGCGCTACCATATATAAATTGAAAACAATATAGTCATTCGGAACTCACCGTATCAAGCTTAATTATAGGGGCAAAAGGGTTCATTTAAAACTATTTTTGTTGAAAAATCACTTCTTCAAAATAAGAATCTCCATTGACGAAATTTCTACCTCAACCATGGATCTATCGATCAGAGTACAAATTTGATCGAATTCAGCTATAATTTTAATTTAGATATTGTATTTATCTTAAAAAATTTATTTAATATGCATATAATATGAATTTAAAGTTCAATAACTAAAATTACCTTCAAAAACTTTAAATTTTAATTTTGCTTCGACCGATACTACATAAAATATAATAATTTTTTTTTTTGAAAAAAAAACATGAAAGTACGATTGTGACATTCTAAAATGAAAAACGTGGTCACTATATGATAAAATATATGGATGATTGGGTTGAACTTTACAGGACATATTGCTTTTTAACACATAACTTTTGCCCATAAAATTGATTGGCATTATTTCAAGTGGATGACAGCCTTTCTGGTGGCCGGTGGGTACTGTTATACCGAGTATGATCGAAAGTTATTGAGTTCACGTGAATTAATAATTTATTTTTGATCTGTTAATGAAGAAATTAAAGAGATTCAATAAGCATTATATATACGTAGAGAATAACGTGAACATTTAATATTAAAGTGATCTAATAAAATTATAACATTGTTATATATGACTTAAAGAGAAGATCGCATGAATTCACATAAATTCATATTTATGCAATATAATTTTTTAATAAAAACTACTTGATCGATCATCATTGGTTTACGTATTTATGCTAAACATTCACTTTAATTATACTACCTGTTTGGCATATGTTTTTTGTGGGGATAAATTGAAAGTAAGTAGCTGCCAAACACACAATAAAATTAATTTTGTGGAAACATAAGCACCCCACCATAAAAAGGAATGTAAAATTCTTCTTGATATAATTGGTTTCACATGTCAAATGATAGGGGATCAATTTAATGCCACTCAGTTTGAAAGATGATTAAATATTGGGATAAGACACAAATATTTTAAAGTTGTAATTAAAATTTTATATTTTAATTAATTTAAGGTTTTGTTATTTCTTTGAACTAATTTTTGTGTAATTTTGTACTTTTTTTTTATATGACACGATTTATGACTCTACGTACTTAAAGTGTATGAAAGATATTTAAAAGTTGCGTGAGTCAAAAAAGCGTATAAAATTATTAAAAAATAGGTTTGAAGATGAAATTGTCACCATTTATTCAATTCTTGTTCTTATTAGAGACCTCCCTTTCCTAGTTCTTTGATATTATTTTAAAGTTTTATATATATATATTTGTTTTTTTTGGTGTTATGATGAAGCCAAGGAGGAACTAGGTATGCATTTGAAATAATATTCACACATGAGTATACTTAAATAGTATAAATTTAGAAGTGAAAAATAAATTGAAAAACATATTATATAAATTACTTTTC